AAATATATATATATATATATATATATTTCAACTTCTGCAGACATTAAAGGCTCAACCAGCAAAAGTCACTGTGTTGCCAGCAGGCTGTCACACAGATACAGTTTGTTCCTATGTGTAAAGATGACACAGTGTGACGGAAAATATTTTCAGATCAAAAAGGGCTGTTGGACAGTGTATTAGACAAAATGTTGATTTACAGTGAGTGATTGGAGGACGATGCACCTCTCAGCTCCTGTTTCAGGTCTTTCCTGGATCCCCACATTTACATTTTCTATACAATTGTGTCTGCAACATGGTTTATTTATTTATTTGCCAAGACAGAATCCTCTTGTGTTGTTCATTTATACATTAATTTTCTCATTTTAAACACACCGTCAAAGCAGTGGTGGCTCCTGAACAAAAATATCAGTGGGGTGGACATTGATTTCCTGAATAACTAACGGCACAAATTTTACAAATTGCGTTACATTTTCTATGAGGATATATGTTGTGTAGTATTTATTTATTTTTATATAATTGTTTTTGTGCACAATCCTGTTTCCTTTTTGTCTTTCTCCTGCTGGTCAAGGTTGTGTATCGTGCAAAACAGTCCAGTCTAATAAATCAGATAAATGGACCCCACATTCACCCTCATACGAAACAGGGAACTTTTCGAATGCTTTAACACATAACTAAATTAATTTACACAACATGCATGAGAGCAAGAGAGTGGATTACTGAATGCTCGCGCTTGCAGTCGTTTGGATCTGTAAAGATTTTTTTCACTTTTCCATAAAAATGTATATAAAAGTGAAGAAATGATGTTAGAATATAGCATCACTGATTCAAATAAATGTTCCAACCATGGATCAAACCCACAATCCTCTAATCACAAGACCAATGCCTTTACCATTAACTTATCAAGGCCACACATGCACACGCATACCACAGAACTGGTTAAATAACATCCTAATACGTTGATGAACAATGTCCCACTTTTTGTCGGTCCGTCTCAGTTTTCCGTTCTGGTCCCTTCTGTCTGCTCCAAATGGATTTAAACAGAATGTTTCTACAACACAGCTGGTTTTGCTGCAGTTATCTCTGCATTTGAGCTCACTCAGCTCAAGTGTTTGTAGAGGTCTTATTAATACGCTAAAACAAGTCAGTTGTCCACAGGGCGGAAAATCTGATGCCCCAAATGAGACTATTGGAGTTGGCTGTTCGGATCACTGGACATGTTCTGATCCGTTTGATAAACGCGGGCCTCTGAACTGTAGCGCCCCATAACTTTAAATAAGTAAAAAAAACTGAGAATGAATCACTAAAAATCCTCTTAAATTCCATTTACAATTGAACAGTCAAATACACAATAAGCTCAGTAAGTACGTCATTTACATTATTTATTAGGAGGAACTACTTTGTGGAGCAAATTATTATTATAATTATTTGTTAGTGGGACTGCACCCCACCTGCCCCTATGGACCAGCTGCCACTGCGTAAAAGGATAAAACCTTTAACAGGCCTTCAGGAAGCCTGGAGGCCTATTAATCAAGACCACTTTAAAAAGTTTACAAGTTTGGCTTCTTTAAAATGAATGATAAAGAAGCTAGATGTGGTTCAGAATGTTTTTACGATATTGTAAATAGTTTTTAACCAATAGATGACTCAAATGAGATTTATTATAGAGAATAGCTACAGACGATCCATCCTCACACTCTGCTGTATTTAAAACTTTGTCACACTTTTGTAATCTGACAACAGTTTTTATGTTTTGTTCAGGTACGTCTTGGTGCTTTCTGTCTTCCATATGTGAACACCGGTGCCTCATGCTGATGTGAGTGCCACCTCCCTTCTTTACCACCCTCATCATCCTCACCTGCTGTGATCCACTGCCCAGTTGGCACTGTGAGGTTCAGAGCAGCCTCCCACCATGTGCGATAACGGAGACCCAGAGGACAAACCCCCAGCCCCTCCAGTCAGGGTGACCAGCACCATCTTCGGTGCCGGTGCCAACAAGGACTCGTTTTCAGCCAACCACAGCTCCAAACCTTTACCGTCTGTGCCCGAGGAGAGGAAACCTCGCAAAGGCTTTTCAATCTTCTCAGTGGCAGAAAAAGGTGAAGCAAAAAGTTTGCTCTTCAGAGTTATTATTATTATTATTAACCTTTATTTAAGCAGGCAAATCCCATTGAGATCACAGATCTCTTTTGCAAGGGAGGCCTGGGCCTGACGTATGACATGTGCAATTAGTTGATATACCGGTAGTAAACAACGTAAAATAATTGTATTATGAATATCACTTCAGTGTGTTTTACTTTTTTTTCTGCTGCTGTTTTTCCTTTCAGGGGGCAGGAAGAAAGATCGAGACAAAGAGCGGCCAGAGATTTCTCCACCTTCAGATTTTGAACACACCATACATGTCGGCTTTGATGCTGTAACCGGAGAGTTCACGGTGAGCCGTCTCTGTGTGGACACTCTTTATTTTTAACATTATTTTTATCGTGAATTTATATAGCAACAATTTGTACATTTGCTCGACTCTCAGTTACAGTAAAGATTTATACATGTATACGCGTATTATTTACACACATGCATAAAAATACAAGTCGTGCTTCAATGGTCCAAGTCTATGTAGGTTCCATTTTTTAATATATGATCCAAACCAACTGGGTCAAACAGCACCCAGTAGAACAATAAAACCAACATGCAAATGACAACAAAAATATATATAAAAAAATTTTAAAAACTCATATATATTCATATTTATATACAAATTTTTAACAGTTGACATTTTCCCAAATTCTTAACTTTCCTTTAATCTTATTTATCGGGGTCACATCAGTGTTGTACATCATTTTCTTCATCTGTAAGTTTTGCATCTTTAACAAACAAGAAGAATGGAGGCCAAGCCTCCTCGAACTGCTCCTGCTCCTCTTTCTGTTTCATGTTATTCTCTCCAGAGGAAAGGTTGCCAGCATTTGTCTGATCCAAAATGTAACACTTCAGCTATTTGTATTTTTCCAAAAGAGTGCGTTTGGACATTCTTACTCGTTTAATTAAAACACTGTTCTGTTTTTGAGTTTGACTCACTTATATTATTGGTTGTCTCATGTGCAGGGTATGCCAGAGCAATGGGCCCGGCTACTCCAGAAATCCAACATCACTAAGTCAGAGCAGAAGAAAAACCCACAGGCTGTGCTCGATGTTCTTAAGTTCTTCGACTCTACGGGCAAAAGTCGCCAGAAGTACCTCAGCTTCTCCTCCTCTGGTGAGAAACAAAGTCTCATGAAGTCGTCTGTTACTGTGCACAGACTGAGCTAGCCTTCTAAAAATACTATAAAGACGGATATCTTTCTGTTTTTGTTTTTTAATAGAAAAAGATCATTTCACTCCAGGACCTCAGTCCGTAAGTATATCTAAACTTGTAACATTTCATGTCGTAATATTTATCCTCACTGTTTTTAAATTCAACAAGCTTTTCTTTAACTTTTAAAAAAGCCTGCCAAACAAAGCCCTGAACCCTCCTCTCCGAACATCAAAGACATAGATGACGACGACGATGATGAAGCTCCTCCTCCTATTGTGGCGCCGAGACCAGAACATACAAAGAGTGTATGCTGCCTTCTATAAATCGGCTTTAAAAATGATTTCAAACTGTTTTTTTTTTTTAAATCAGTCTCTTTCTAATGCAGAAAGCATTGATTCTTTTCTGTAGTTATTTGATTGGCGCTTCTTTATGTTGCACAGATGTATACCCGTTCTGTTATTGACCCCATCCCTGCTCCGAGCACGTGTCCTGATGGGGACGCTGCGTCCAAGACTGCAGACAGACTAAAAAACAAGAGAAGGGTAACAGACGAGGAGATCATGGACAAACTGAGTGAGTATTTAAAATGAGTTAAAAACAAAGTAATTTATCTATTTTATTTTGTGCTTTCACTTGTCATTCCCTAATTGCACCTTTCTGTGATCTGACCTACAGGAACCATAGTCAGCATCGGAGATCCCAAGAAAAAGTACACACGATATGAAAAGATCGGTCAGGGGTGAGTGCAGATCTACTCAAGAACAGCGCGTGTTGTCAACTGTTAGTAGATGCAGCTGGATGTAAACATTTGGCCACCGTGTTGCAGGAAAATCAAGTGAATTACTGAAACATTTAAACAGAGACTGTTATCAGTTTCTGTCCTTTTTAAAAAACAGATTTCTATCACATTCATTAATTAAAGCTTTAGCCATTCAAGATCGTGGATAAGGATGGAAGCAGAAAAGTCCCAGTGAATTTTGTCCATGCTGCCTTTCTGTGGTCTTCTTTTAAAGACCACCACTTGTTTTAGTTGAGAACAATACCAGAAATGAACAGAGTCGATCAAAACTGGGGGGCGCCCCACATCAAACCATAAAAACAGTAAAAACAAAAAAGGACAGATCACATAATTCACAAGTACAATCAAATGAAGTCGGATCTAATTGGTTGTACATACTCTCTTCATTTGGTCCAGATCTGATCAAATTGATCTTTTTTGACTTTGAGGGAAAAATATATCTTTTTGTAATTCTGACCATTTCAATCCATTCATCAACAGTGGGTGGTTCTGCTTTTTAACCATTTTTTTTGTCCTTTTTTAGTGCCAAGAAAATGTTGACATTTGTTTACAAACAGTTTTAAAGGGATACTAACAATGCCAACACACCCATAAAGTTATTTATGAGTTTCTGAAGATTCAAGATGAACAGAAGTTGTGAAGCCTCTCTGCCTGATCCAGTTCTACAATCCTTTGGTTTGACAAACTCATGGTCTGCCTGTCAAGTGGAGGAATCCTTCTGCATATTCTGGATCTTCTCACAATACAGTGCAGACTATACTATGTAAAAACTTAAAAGAACTGAGCAAACCTGATGTATCAGGGCTGTGTGCTTTTTTCAGATGAGCGTGGACTCACAGAAGCAGGTAGATGACGACGTCTTAGCTCTGACGCCGGGACTTCTGTGATGTGGGAGATTAGGGCCTCATCTAATATTCGTGTGTGTAAAGTAGATGGATGAGGTTTTTAGGTTCCAGAACAAAGCAGCACATCCTCCTTACCACTGGCACGTCTTCTTGACAGGTTAGGGATGAGCCAGTATCTGCTCCAAATTGTGAAGATCATTCTCAAGGGAATTTCCAAAATGTCTGTTAGTAGGAGTTTATTTTTCTCACAAGTTGCAAAGATCGCAAACTTGTTGCGCAGATTAAATTAGCTAAACAGATGTTGTCTCATCAGTCGTTGTAGGCATGTCGAACCCTACTAAATGTAAAATCTGTAATCCTAGAGCACTGGAGCTGTATGTTTTGTAAACTGCCACCTGCGTATCTTTTCTAACAGGACAGTGGTTCCATTATTTGCTCTTATGCTGGTAAACCAAACGAGATTCAAAGCAAGCAATGAGAAGCAAAATGTCTTCTGCTACAAATAAAGTCCAGTTGTTTTTGCTTTTAATCTTGTTTGGATTATTTGCTCTTGAAAAAAGAGAAAATTGCAGCAAAGCATGTGGGGGGGCTTGTGTACTATAACTGCTCAGCTGTGGTGCAGAGGTTTCCACAGCAGCTTTCCTTCCTGAGCTCTGTTCAGGACTCCCGTGTTAACATTTAACAAACGGAGCAGGTGGGAAGTTTGACTGGGCTCATTCTGGCTATTAGCCCTGCGCAGGATACACCTCACCAGAGTACTGAGAAAAAATGATGAGCAGTGACATGTTACTTCAGCCGACATGTCTGTGATGCACTTGGAAGTCAGGGGACGTTCCCGCACCACACTTACAGTCCACGTTTTGTTTATTCTCTCCAACTTGTGCCATCTGTGCATAAATACACATGCGCTCAGCGCAGGTGTACTGCTGCTTGAAGAAAAAGCACAATCTGCCCTGCTCATGTTTTAAAATAACCATATTAATTATTTTAGGAGATTAGTGCCTGATTAGAAGAGAATTCCTCCCTTCCTGAGTTCCACAATTATTATCAACAACACCATATGTCCATATCTAACCACCACGAGAACAGAAAAAGGGGGTGTCAAATTAGCTTTCTTTAAATTTTGAGTGTTCTCCAGTACATAAAATCATAAACGGGGGTAGCTGCTAAGGTGGGCACAAGGTGGGTAGTGGTAGCAACTTAAGGATTGTGCATGGCCTACAATACAGTTTTCCCGAGTTGTGCACAAAAAATAGACCTTTGTTTTCAAAACTCGGCCGTGCAAAATTCAGCTGCCAGGCTCATTGGTCACTTGATTGCAAACGCTTAAAATTATGTAAGATTACAAGTTTTAAAAAAAAAAGATTACAAGTAAAAACAAAAGATTACAAGTTTGTAAAAAAAGATTACAAGTAAAAAAAAAAAGATTACAAGTAAAAAAAAAGATTACAAGTAAAAAAAAAAGATTACAAGTAAAAAAAAAAGATTACAAGTAAAAAAAAAGATTACAAGTTAAAAAAAAGATTACAAGTAAAAAAAAGATTACAAGTTAAAAAAAAGATTACAAGTTAAAAAAAGATTACAAGTTAAAAAAGATTACAAGTTAAAAAAGATTACAAGTAAAAAAAAAA